CCACAATCCGCGGGGGAAAGTCTTCCTGGCGAAGACGCGATCCTGCAAAACATGACAGAATAAAGACAAGCTTTAACATTTCCTTATCAAAACCTTCAGTTTCACTTAGTTTCCTGATGGTGAAATTAAACCCTTCGGTTATGCCACTGAATATGATTTTGCTTATGTTTCGTTTCGTGTAAGTATCTCAGAAGTCATCTGTACTTCATTGTGGAATGGGGCAGTATATCAATACATTAATATGTTAACTCTAAGGAGTTAGGTTTAACGTGTTCCATGAATCAAGACAAGCAAAAGTAAAACAGAACAAGATATTTTCTTCTGGGGTCAGCATGGGGATTAAGATGAGTAAGACTAATTTCCTGTCCTCAGATTGCTTACTGTATACTGGGGAAGAAAGCCACGTCGGCAAGCACCTAGAAGACACACACACATATCATTTAGTGTGCTGCCAATGTGTTATCAGACTAACACAAAAAGAGACCTGCAAATTATGTACAAAGATTATCTCCATTTAACAGATGAGTCAAAAGCTTAGGAAATGATGTCAGTTGCCCAGGAACGTGGATAAAGCAGGCAGTAGAGGCAGGATTTAGAACTCAAGTGTATTTGACTGAAGAGCTCAAGTATAAATCAGTGTTAAAATGGAATGTGGCTGCATAGAAGTATACAAGAAATGTACCATATGCAGAAAGAAAAACTTCAAAAGTTAACTCTAAATCAAGTATAATAAGAGATCTCTTCCCCACCCCCAAAAAAATTACATTTAGGTTGAGCTGTAAAGAATGAAAATGCGGGCCAGGCGCGGTGGCTCAAGCGTGTAATCCCAGCACTTTGGGAGGCCGAGGCGGGTGGATCACGAGGTCAACAGATCGAGACCATCCTGGTCAACATGGTGAGACCCCGTCTCTACTAAAAAATACAAAAAATTAGCTGGGCACGGTGGTGCATGCCTGTAATCCCAGCTACTCAGGAGGTTGAGGCAGGAGAATTGCCTGAACCCAGGAGGTGGAGGTTGCGGTGAGCCAAGATCGCACCATTGCACTCCAGCCTGGGTAAGGAGAGCGAAACTCCATCTCAAAAAAAAAAAAAAGAATGAAAATTCGACAACTAAAAGAGAAAAGCATCATGCAAAGGATGCCATCAGCAAAAAGAGAAAAAAATGAGAGTTATGTGCATGCTACATTTCACAATCAGGAAGAAAGATGACATGGGAGAAAAAGGTGTAAGGCAGTCTTACAGCCTGAGACAATGGGATTTATACCATGCTCAGGATTATGACTGTTATGTCACCTGGCTCACAGATTTTAAGGAGGCAGTGACATGACTATGTGTATAACTGAAAGATACTTTTAGTCTGCATTGTCAATAAGGGATACCAATGGAGATATGAAGACAGTTGTAATTTACTTTGATAGTCCAAGAGAAAAATAAAAAGTATCTGAGCTTGGGAAATGATGGTTCAGGTAGAAAAGAAGAAGAAAAAAATACACCATATCACACACACAAAAAAAATGCTTGACAAAATTTGGTATATCCCTATACACAGTACAAAGAAAGAGAGATCATACCAGCGACTAATGATATTGTAATTATCATTACAATATTTGTAAACTATGTTACCTAAAGAATATAGTACTGTCATATCAGGATACTCTTCTAGTAATTTTACTCCTACTTTTATAAAAACATCAAAGAACATCTACAACCTAAATGTAAAAAGTAAAGCTATAAAATGATTACAAAAAATTATAGAGGCAAGGTTTTATGATTTTGAGTTAGGTGATACCTTCTGGGATGTGATACCAAAAGCATAAGCAACAGAAGAAAAAATAAATAAACTGGATGCTATATAATGTTTAAATATTTGTGCTTGAAAGAATACTACACACTGAATTAGAAAAAACAATCTGCAAATCATATACCGATAATGGATTTATATTCAGAATATCCAAAGAACTCATAACTCAAGAAAGGTGTAAATAATCAAATTTTAAAATGGGCAAAGGTTGGAATAAGAAGTTGGACAAATTTGACAAAGAAGTTAGACAAATAGTAACCACATAAAGAGATACACCACATCATTAGCTATTAGAGAAATATAAATCAAAACTACAATGAAATACGCTTCATACTCACTAGGATGCATATAATCAAAACGGTGTAAAATAACAAGTATTGTCAAGGGTGTGAAAAAACTAAAAGCCTCATCCATTGCTGGTGTGAATTTAAATCATACAGTCACTTTGGCAAACAATCTGGAAGGTCCTCAAAATGTCAAACATGTAGTTACCACATGACCCAGCGATTTCACTCCTAGATATTTATCACCCCAAAATGAAATCATACATCCACACAAAATTTACTCATGAATACTCATAGCAGTATTTTTCACAATAGCCAAGAAAGTAGAAACAACTCAAAGGTCTACCAACTGAACTGATTAAAAAGAGTGAATCAATAAGATAAATGTCCATGATGAATGGATAAATAAAATGTGCTGTATCTATACAATGAAATATTATTCAGCCTTAAAAATGAAGTATGAATAATGCATGCTACAACATAGATGAACATGGAAAATATAAGCGAAAGAAGCTAGTTGCAATGGATTATATATTGTACAATTCCATTTATGTGAAATGTCCAGAGTAGGAAAATCCATGGACATAAAATGTAGATTAATACATGCCTAGGGCTGAGCTATGGAAGTGGGGAATGGAGAAGGTCTGGAAAGTGCTTCCAACAGGGATGGGATTTCTTTAAGGGTGATGAAAATATTCTGAAATTAATTATGGTGATGGTTGTATTACTCTTTGAATGCAATAAAGATTATTTTATTGTATACTCTGGGTGAGTTTTGTGGTATATGAATTATATCTCAAGCAAATTTTTGAAAAGTTGATAAAAGAACAGCATGAACAAGTTTAATAAAAGGTGTATAACAATTTGTGCTTGCTCCTAACAATAGTTAACATGATTTTCTTCATTTATAATTTTAGGCTCTAATGAAATCATTAGGTTTGCAATAGATAATTAGGACATAAAATAAACTTTAAAGGTCTCACCAGCCAGACAGATAGATAGATTAGAGAGACAGGGAGAAAGATAGATAGATTAGAGAGACAGGGAGAAAGACAGATTAGAAAGATAGATATACAGAAATACTGCTAAAATCTAAGTTTTAGAGTGATATTAAAAATATGGGTTAATTTCCATAATTCTGAGCTTTCTTAAATTCAGACATTACATAACAATAGCAGTGATTTTAAGATGGACCCAATGCATGAGCCTTACATAAGTCTTTGGATTCTTTAAAATTGTGTGTGAAAATAAGTTTTATTGTGTAAAGGGGAGGTAGTAGTGGTGGGAGGCAGTGTAGCTCTCATCATATTCCCAAAGAGGTTGGGCCTTTAAGATTGTCAAGGAGCACTAAATTACTGGGTATTCTGTATTATTGGATAAAACAACTCCATTAGTTGGTCAAAAAATAAAGCTGAGTTGTCAGCAAAACTCACCGGGGATTCAGAACACTAAGGGGGAGTGGGGGTTGCTCATCAAATTAAGTGCCATGAAACAGCTCAACCTCAACAGTTTTGTTATCTAAAGTGTGAGCTGCTCTACTAGCAATAAAAGCGTCATCCAAAGGTGTATTAGAAATAGAGGATCTTAGGCCTAAACTCACATATCTGAAATCTGAATCTTCAATTTAATAAGATTCTCCACTCCTCATCAGATATTTCTATGCAGATATTTCTATGATAAGCACTGCTCAAACCAGTTGTTTTGTTTTTCTTTTTCTTGAGATAGAGTATTATTCTGTTGCCCAGGCTGGAATGCAATAGCACCAGATCTGCTCACTGTAACCTCTGCCTCCTGGGTTCAAGAGATTCTCCTGCCTCAGCCTTCCAGGTAGCTGGGACTACAAGCATACACCACCACACCCAGCTAATTTTGTATTTTTAGTAGAGACAGGGTTTCTCCATGTTGGTCAGGCTGGTCTCAAACTCCGGACCTCAGGTGATCCACCAGCCTGGGCCTCCCAAAGTGCTAGGATTACAGACATGAGCCACCTCACCTGGCCTCAAACCAGTTTTTTTATGGCTCTGAGCTAACCATGTTTTTAAAAGAAGAGGAAGAGGAGGAGAAGGAAGAGAAGGAGGAGGAGGAGGAGGAGGAGGAGGAGGAGGAGGAGGAGGAGGAGGAGGAGGAGAAGGAGGAGGAGGAGGAGGAGGAGGAAACAGAAAATTTATATAGCCTGTGAAGCTTGAAATATTTACCAAGGTTTACTCACTCTGCTCGAGAGTACCTAATTATCATTTTCCATTATAAAGTTCATTTTTAATTTAAATTTATTTTATAAATAAATAAATTTATAAATATCTCTTCTACATATTTCAAATGAAAATTATTTTGATAGCAATGTTAATATTGCCCATATAATAAGAAATTGTTCAAGACTCCTATTTGAACAGATAGGATAAGCAAAGTATAAAAATAACTCTCTACAATTCTAATTTCACTTTTGGCTGATATCATGTCTGCAATCTTTTTATATTTCAAGTATTAATTGGGCCATCAGTCAAGTTTTAATTAAAATAATTTCTTTAATTCTCTTTTTCCATGTGTAAATATGTGTGTACACATATATATACACATATATATGTACATATATTTCCTCTCTCTTTTACAATAATAAAAGATAATGGAAATTGATCAGAGGGTCCTAAAAATGAATATTCAAATGTTTATTTGTACTGTCCAAGAAAGTAAGCTATGAAATCTTCACGCAAATTGTCCATAATTGAACAGATTGGAGAAGCAGAATTAGAATTCATGACCTTTAATCCAAAATGTCCCAGGCTTCTTTAGAAATGAATGGAGAACCAAGTAAATAATGCAAATAGCATCTAGGCTAATTCCAAAGCCCCCTTCTAAAGATTTTCCTTGATTTTCAAAGCCTGATTCTCAAGCTACCTTTATCAGAATGATCTGGGAATCAGAATAATCAGAATATCAGAATAATCATGCCAACCTGTCCCAGGTACCATGCTAATCTCCTCTGTATTGCTCTTGTTTTAGTATACGTGCTGCCAAAGTGAGCACTAAGATATCTCTTTAAAATATACATTTTTTTTTTTTGAGACAGAGACTCACTCTGTTGCCCAGGCTGGAGTGCAGTGGCACAATCTTGGCTCACTGAAACCTCCGCCTCTCAGATTGAAGCAATTCTCATGCCTCAACCTCTTGTGTAGCTGGGACTACAGACAAATATCATCACATCTGGCTAATTTTTCGTATCATTAGTAGAGATGGGTTTTCATCATATTGGCCAGGCTGGTCTCAAACTCCCAGCTCAAGCGATCCTCCCATCTTGGCCTCCTGAAGTGCTAGGATTACAGGTATGAGCCACATTACCTTGCCAACAAATTCTTATTCTCCATAGTGAACAAGACACATCAGAAATTACCAGTGAAAAGTTCCATGAAGCTACATTTTTTCCATGCTTACCAGAAGATCACATAGTTACACCTGGCTAGATATAGCCTTCCACAGCATCGTCAAGTTAGTCAGCCAGATGCAGATGCATCTTTGAATAATGTTCTAAGCACATTAATTTACATAAGGGATTATTTCTGCTTCTCAGAGACTCTCAAACAATGACTTTGTAATAATCTTTTGTAAAATATTTGATATTTTGAAAAGTTGAGTGGTTTATTAGCACTTCAAACTTTTTGAAGGTAAAGTATAAATTATAATTCATGAATATAGTTAATTTTAGTTTTATTTAGTCAGTAACCACTCATTTGCAGTGAGTGCCAGAGAACATTTGTTTTTAGGAAGAGATTTCAATCACACAGTATAATAAGGGAGGAAAATGTACCCAGACAAATACTTGTTGATTTCATTTCATGTGTTACAAAATAAAATGCTTCTGCCTCCTTGAGTTGCAATACAGTATTTCCTTGAACTGAGTTTATTTTTCATTTACAAATTGTTTAGCCCTATCAACTATTAGTCCCTCTACAAGTCAAGCAATGTATTTCAAACTGTTCTAAGGTTTTCTGAGGGCAAAAAAATTCTTGGCAAATCAGGGACAGGATGTGAAACATACTTCCTTCAGCAAAATTTCTATGTAGTGTTCATTTTTCTCTCTTAAAAATGTATGTAACAGTATGTTCTAGCCACAACTATGTCTGTTTTAACAGAATATTTCCCCCAAAATTATATAAACAAAATTAGAAAGATTTTCGAGAATTACTTCAATTCTGAATATGATCAGAGACACCTGCTGATTTGAGAGATGCAGTAGCACCATATGAAAAGGAGAAAGTTGCCTGACACGTCACAATAGGAAGGAGGCTGTGTGGTACAAATAAAGAACACAGGGCATTAATCAGCTAATATTCATGCCTCATTTGTACCAGGTAGATCAGAACATCAATGTTTATAAAGAGTGGTTTCGAAGATTAAAAGAAATCATATATATGGATCACGAGGATGAGCAGTAGGCATTTAGCAAAATATTTTTCCCCTCCTAGAAACGATAACAAATATTCTTTCCAAAATTTAGCCCATAAAACGCTACAATCCAATTGACAGTAGTTTCTCTTTGCTGAGGATCATTCTTACATTAATGTTTTACTGCTTGATACATTTTAGTGAGACCAGGCTGCTAGCTTTACACTAGATTTCCAAAGAATTCAAGTTGTTATTATTTATTGTTAGACAAAATAATTCTAATTCAAAATTTACTTCACTGAGATAGACGTATCTCAGTGCCACCGCAAATGTTATCTACATTAATTAGTGAGCTAAGTTAACTTGCAGTGAAATGGAATTAATGAATCACTCCATCAATCCATCATGTCTGTCCATAAAAACTTTTCCATCCTTGAACTCTGCATAATGATTAAATTCCAGTTTACTTTGCTTATGAGGGAGGAGGGATTAGAAACGGGTTTTGAGATAACTTTCCGGGTTTTTTTTAAAGAGGTCCAATGATTTGATAGGATATGGTAAGAAGGTCAATATTTGAAAAACTTGTAGGCCATTTTATCATTTGAACTTTACTAAAACTCTCTCAGGAGATTTCCTAATTTGCCATTGGCCTAAATAAATTTATAAGATTATTATCCTTCTGGAAGTACAGCAGTGCCATGTTAATAAAAATAAGTGTGCAATTGAAACAAAATCACAATTGAGAACTAGAAATACTACTTATTTTTTAGAAAATTTCAAACTAACTTTTTAGTGTTCTAAAACTAAAGGGCTCATAATTGTGGAAGGGAATTGGTTTTGACAAACCTTTTGATAAGGATAAAAGAGGTTTGTCAGACTCAACAGGCAGCCTTGATACTGGAAGTTTCCAGTTGCCAAAAATTTGCCAAGAATTTCTTCTGCCCTCAGAAAAATTTAGAAGTTTGAAATACATTGCTTGACTTGTAGAGGGACTAATAGTTAATAGGGCTATCCAGTTTGTGAAAGAAAACTAAAACTTGCTTCAAGGAAATACTATAACTCAACAAGGAGGCAGAAGCATTTTACTTTGTAACACGTGAAATGAAATCAACAAGTATTCATCTAGGTCCAAAATAGCACCCTGCAACAGCCCTGTGACCTCCCTTTCCAGGTCCAGAAAACGGAAGATTGGCTATCAGTGGTCCTTTTACAAACCCTTATTTTACAGATGAGGAGAAAAAAGAGCGTACTAAAGAACTTAAGTTTCTTTCCCAAAACTGAGACTAGAAGGATATGGTTGTCTTAGTTGTAGGTCCAAGCTCTGTTTCCAGGAAAACCTTTTCTTCTTTCTCTACCACCTCTTCTTACCCCAATTTTGGAAGTCTAAAATATTATTAGAAAATTCTAAGCACCAGATTTCAGTTGTTTTTTTGGTTGGCTTTTTAACTGGACCAAACATGGTTAGCTTTATTACCTTAAGCAATTACCTAAATTGTTGTTCTTTTTTTTTCACTATTTATTAATCCCAAAATTGAGGCAAGTGGAAGAGTAAATTGCTATAATTTCATTGTTCTGTAGTATGATCACACTATTTATGACTGTCATATTAATGATGTCTTAATAGCTATATCTAAAAGAGAGGATAATGAGTAGCAATTTAAATTTATAAACACACTGTACATTTTTTTAAAAATACACACACTGTAGATTACTGTTCATACTTTTGATAAATGTATAGATTACAAAGGTTAGCCTTTGTAGGTCTTGTATCTGCTATCAAAAGCAATGGGTATCACATGCATTCTTAGAAAACCTCCAAAAGTTAACAACGATTTAAAAGACTGAAAACACAGCTTATGTAACACTTGAAATTTATTCCTAAATTTGCATAAAATGTATCCATATTGTTAGTATATGCATGATCTACAAATCATTTTAACCACAGATGAACTGGCTATATTAGATAGTTATTTTAAAAATAAATATGTTCACACACAGAGGCCTGTCGGGGGGAGTGGGGGAGTGATAGCATCAGAATAAATAGCTAATGCATAAGGGGCTTAATACCTAGGTGATGGATTGACAGGTGCAGCAAATCACCATGGCACACGTTCACCTGTATAACAAACCTGCACGTCTTGCATATGTATCGCAGAGCTTAAAATAAAATTAAAAAATATGTCATTCATTATGTAAAATAAAACCTTCAGCATTCAGTGAAGATCTTCAAAATTTCCGTCCTTATTTGGGGTGAGTGGGTTGCTCTTTCAGGTGGAGATAACTAATAAAGATTCATAAAATTTTCAATCTGAATTTCACAACTGTATTTCAGGTCTTTACCTATCTATCATTAACAGAAATTGCCAAAAATGTAAAAATTAGAGCACTTTTTCCCCTGTTTATTTCCTCCTCTTCCACATGTTATTCAGTGCCTTTCAGATGAGTCTTAATCACTTTTTCAAATGCTATTCAATTGTCTGGCTCCCCACATCAAAATTAAGCTGCTGACTGTCTGAGCAAGTGGGTCCCAGTGACAGAGCATCAGCGCCCATGGGGAGTGCAGGACTGTTTGTGTAAGTTAGAGCCAGAAGCTGGACAAATACGAATGTATAAATAAATGTGTAAATATATGTGTGTGTATGGATGTGTGTGTATACGCATGTATATATAATATTAAAAAGAAATTTTGAAACCCCTAATCTGAAGGTTTCTAGAAAACTGTAAGGGGTGATTTTCCTCCTGAGAAATAACAAATTACTCTCCTACTTTAGAAATTCATTTCCAACAATTCAGTGAGGAGCCGATGTATTAACCTGGATATTCATCCAATACTATTTCAAATCAATTTGCTACATCTTACATGGTTGAAGGTATTTTTTAAAGTGTGATTTACTGCCCAATTGGAGGTTTTCATGGCTTATGCAGATTACCTTACAATGACAAAATCAATCCCTATTCCAGGAAGATAGCTTGGAAATTTAGCTTCTTATTATCATATTTATAATATTTTGATGTGATTTGAAATTGCATTTGGCTTTACAAAAGGTGATGCAATGAAACAATCTCCAAACTCATTAAATTGTCTAATGTTTAATTTTCTAAAAACCTTTCACATTTATTTAATGAAGACTATGAATTGGTCTCCAGAAAAGGGGATTCTACTTAAATAAACTCTGAATGGAGTGATGTAATTTTCACCTTCTATTATGTTTTCTTCTATTCTATTTCTATATTGTGAAAATTCTGTAGCAGTAGCATTAATCTTAGTAACTATAGATGTGAAAGGACTCAGTGTCAATGTGTAAAGGACACCATTCCCACCAGCAATGACATTTTACAGATGTGTGTGCTAAGCTTTGTTAAATACTTAGTTAATCAATTTGCCTGGAACTCTTGATAAATCTTCCTGCACTCCAAAATATTTCACAATAAAGTTAAATTGAGATTCAATGATCCTACTTAAAATTTCAGACAAACTTACTTTATTATATAAGTACATAAAAGACTTTTAAAAGACAGAATGGAAAATGTGATTACAATCCATATAGTTTCTTAAAGAAATAACAGCTAAATCACTACCAAAAAAATTATAGCTGTCATGAGCCAAATGCATTATTTGCATCATGTCCAAGGAATGCACACAA